GTAGCCTAAAAAACTACACCCACATTCCCAAAACATGGATTATGGATGATTATCTTTGCTTAGTGTGTTGGCTAAAAGTTGTTATGGATAATAGTCTTTTAAAAAAGCTAAACAAAGGAGATTAGAGTCAGAGTCTTATTTGAAAAGTAAAAAGGGGAAGTGCTGTGGGATAATGCTTTTTACACTGTAAAGGTTTGTAACTCTTATTGGTTTAATAAAATGCTGATTGACCAGCAGCCAGACAGAAAGAATAGGTGGGGTAACTAAACTAAGATACTTCTGGAAGGCAGAGGGGAACCAGCCAGATGCAGAGGAAGCAAAATGAGAATGCCTCACTGAGAAGAGGTACCAAGTCACATGGCTAAGCATAGACAAAAATTATGGCTTAATTTAAGTTGTAAGAGCTAGTCAATAATAAGCCTGAGTTAACAGATGAAACAGTTTATAATTAATATAGGCCTCTGTGTGTTTCTTTGGGACTGAATGACTGCAAAACAGGGGCAGAGCAGAGATTTCCATCTACAGTACTCTAAGACTATTATATACTGGCTTGCTTCCCCTAGATTTCTCAGCCTGCTTTCTTAAAGAACACAGTACCACCAGCCCAGGTATGGCACAGGCCACAGAGGACTGGGACCTCCCCATTAATCTCTGAGAAAATGCTTTACAACTGGTTCTCATGGAGACATTTCCTCAACTGAGATTCCTTCCTCTCTGATGACTCAAGCTTGTGTCAAGCTGACATACAAACGAGGCAGGACACTGCCCACACAATCCGGCCTTTACCTTCTCACTGACCTGTGCTATGCCACCTCTCCATGCTTGCATACAGTGGCCTTCTTCCTGCTTGTTAAACAGTCCCCACTCTAGTCTCATTGGAATTTCTTTCTAAGCTCTTTTCTTGACACTTAGGGGTTTTTGTTTGTTTGTTTTTATTTTTATTTATTTTTTAAAATTTCATTTTACATTCCAATCACAGTTCTCCCCTCCACACCTCCTCCTGCCCCCATCAACTTCACCCCAGCCCACCCCCACCTACACCTCCCAAAGGGTAAGGCTGAGATCCAGGAATCCAGTAGAAGAGAAGGAAGAGGGGATACATGAGCAAAGGAGGTCAAGATGATAATGGGAAATCTGCAGAGACAGCTGAACTAAGCTTGTAGGAACTCGTGAACTCTAGAACAAAAGCTATGGAGCTGCCATGGTACTAAACTAGGCCGTCTGCATGTGAGCGATAGTTGTATACCTTGGCACTTAGTTCTCAGCACTCAATCCTTCTCACATCCCGTGTCTTAGATTTCCTTTCTTCATAGTATATACGAGATCTAATTGGTTTTCCTTATTTAATTGTATGTTTGTGTCTATTCATTAAAATGTCTGTCCTTTGTCCTTTAAGGTTCATATACTGAGAATTTGGTCCTTAAAGTAATAGTAAGAGGTAAAGTAATGTTAAGTGGTCGTTACATCATCAGAGTGTATTCTCGTAGTTTATGTGCATGAGGGTTTTGTCTGCATGTGTGCTTAGTATTGGCACAGGTCAGAAGGCACCGGATCCCTTGTAATTGGGGACACAAATTGTGTTCCACAAAAGGAGGTGCTGGGAACAAAATATGGTTCCTCTGAAGAGCAAGTGCTCTCCTCCACTCAGATATCTCTCCAGCCTCCTGGGCTAGGGAGTTTCCATGACTAAATTGGCGCAGCCTGGAGTCATCTGAGAGGAAAAGCTCCATTGGGTAATCTGACTAGATCAGACAGGGCATTTCTGTGGTGGGTTCCCTTGATGTTAATTGATGTAGGAGGGCTCAGCTCACTGGAGGCAGCACCATTCCTTGGGCAGGTGGGTTTGGGTTGTATAAGGAAGCTAGTGAAATGGGAGCCAGTGATGCAGCCAGCACACCAACCTATAACTGATCAAAGTGCTGATAATAAATGGCTACGCTGTACAATAGTGGACCAAAGGTCATCCCTAAGTGCAATAATAAACACCCAAGCTGTATCACCTCTCTAAGGCTCAGGGAACATTGGAGGGGAGAGAAATCGAGAGGACAGACGTAAAAGACAGAGGAATGTGTTGAGTATTGTGGGACTTTCTGTCCTCTGCGTGCAAAATGGTCATCATCTTGAAATAACAGCAACTGTGATTATTCACAAGAGATTCTTAGAAAAGTAGAGCCACGAACATTTCCTCATGAACGTGATGAGGAGCCTGTGAGACTCTTGAGGCCTCTCTCTGTCCCTAAGACTTGATAGAAACAATGCTCGGTCATTGCACAATCTGAAGGGAACAGAAATAACTTCTGAGAAAAAGAAGAGTATTAAACTTGAACTGCCACTCTGGCTCTTCATTTTCTTATGAGGATTTCCATGCTATATGAATTTTGTACCAAGTAAAATTATGTGTTTTGTTTCAGTTTATGTCTGTTTAATTCTTAAACCTATGTATGAAATATCCCTAAAAGGGAAGAGGTAAAAAAAATGTTCCTACCCTCAAATATATTCACAATAATTGACGGTATAAGTAGCTTTATTCCCAGAACATAGAATAAATTTCAATCAATTTCCAAAAGCAAACCTTCAAAGCACAGAAAATTTCTATCCTAAGATTTTTCTAGAAAACAATATTTATGAGGTTTTATAATCTTGTTAACAGACAATAAAATATTTCAAGGGCAAAAATATATGTGAAAAACTGTAATTTCATTTTGAACACATATGTTAAAATTAAAGTGTTAGCGAACTAAATCCATAAGTGTGACCAAGACAACATTGTTAAATCCACACTATAACTCATGATATTTATCAAAATAAAGGGGAAAACTGGGAGGAGTATCTCAACATATGTTTTAAAACATTAAAAACCCGGCTGGAGAGATGGCTCAGTGGTTAAGAGCACTGCCTGCCCTTCCAAAAGTCCTGAGTTCAGTTCCCAGAAACCACATGGTGGCTCACAACCATCTGTAATAAGATCTGGTGCCCTCTTCTGGTCTGCAGACATACATGCAAACAGAATACCGAAAATACTGTATACATAATAAATAAATAGATTTTAAAAAAATTAAAAACTGAAATATCCAAATCTTTGGCAATTATGACTGTTGTATGACATGGAACTAGTAACTAAACTAGGGCCCTTCTGCAAGAGCAGTGGGAGCTCTTAATGACTGAGCCATCTCTGCAACCCCCTCTGCCTTTCTTTGCAGGGAAAGGGTCTCTCAGTGAAAGTAGAGATTACTAAAGGACTAGACTGATTGGTCAGTGAACCTCTGGAATTCTCCTGCCTCTGCCATCCAGAGCTGGGATCTCAGGCATACCATAGCATGCCTGGTTTTTTACATGAGTGCTGGAGATCTGACCTCAGACCCTCATACTTGGGCAGCAAGTTCCTTAATCACTGATCCATTTCTCCAGCCACCAAATCACAAAACTCTTAACAAGAAAAAAATTAAGTGTTAAAAACTGTAGAAAGATCACATTATGGACACACACACACACACACACACACACACACACTCTAGTGCTGTTCCTCTAGAGAACACTGACTAATAGGGAGGTGTTTGCATCATGAGAGTAGAGCCCTGTCTTTGAAATGGAATAATTATGAAGAGATATCAGTCTTCTCTGTTTCTCAAACATGCAGTTGTCCTTTCCTCTACCTTCCACCATCAAGTAAGGCCATTGCCCTGACCACAGTTAGAAGTCTTAACTTGGAGATTCTAGTGGCTGGAGTCAAAAGTCCAGATAATCCCCCATTCTCTAGAAATCACCCAGTTTCAAGTGCTCTTTAGTAGCAGTAGAAATTGAACTAAGCCAGAACTAACCGAAATACAGCAGGATGAGCAGCTTGAAGGAAACATTAAACACCAGGATCATTTACACCATGGAAGAAAAGCACGGGGAAAGGAAACAGTGCTGACCATAGCACAAGAAAGTGAGCATCAGCCCAAACTGTTACAAGTGCTAAAGGCCAAATCTGTGTAAGTATGTGAGTCTGGAAAAGCTGGGGCACTTGGGCAAAGGGACTTTACAATTAAGGAAGGCTTTCCTTTGAAGGCTCATGACAAAGATTCAGGCAAAACAATGACTAGAGACACTGGCAGTGCAGGTAACCTAGAAAGAATCAGAGAACAAGAAGAAGCAGGCTTATTGTATCACCTGACTCTCTGAACTTTGTTTCATGGAAAGCAAAACCCTAATCCACTTGAGATTGGGTATCAGAAACATGCACACAGGCTTCACAGTGCTACCTGAGGATTCTCCCTCTCAAGCTCTACCTTCCTCGTCCCCTTGCCCCTCTTCCCTAGGAAGAGAAAGCTGTAAGCAATTATGTAAGAAAACAAAGACAATTCTCTGTAGTGCACAGGCTAATACACTTTACAGAAGAGGAAACTATAACACAATTCTTGGTCCACTAAAGAATACAAGGATGTGTCTTGTTCCTAAATGTCTAAGGTATTAAGTAGAACTAGCCACCAGCAAGATGACTCAATAGGTGAATTCATGTAGGTTGTCCTCTGATCCCACATGTGGCATGCGCGCGCACACACACACACACACACACACACACACACAGCGAGAGAGAGAGAGAGAGAGAGAGAGAGAGAGAGAATAAATATTTCAAAACAAAAGAAAAATAATTATTAAAGGCACTTGAGAAGGATAAATTCCACCCACAAAGTAATTGCAGACATAAAGCAGAATTTGGTTGCCTCAAGATATACCTTCTATTAAGAGAATTTTTTTATCCCTGAAGGAAACCTGACAAGCTAAATCTAAGAGTCACATAGATAATCAAAAGTCAAAGATATCTGGGAAGAGGCAGAGGCAGGGAGATCTCAAGAGGCTCAAGCCAGCCTGGTCAACATACAAAGTTTTAGGCCAGCAAAGAATGCGTAGTGAGAATCCGTCTTATTAAAACAAAAATTCCTTTAAAAATTAGTTTAAAATTTTGAATCTGAAAATCAGCATGTATTCTAAGTAAGTCTGAGCAAGTCATCAATTACCCAAATTTTATCAGTTTCCCAAGGTGGATGTTTTTGAACTTCATTCTGTCTATACTGCTGGCAGATGTGTTCAGAGGTACATGTGCGAAGAAAAGCATTTCATTGGGAGAAAGGTACTGTGGAGCTAGTGCAGTATCAAATCCCAAATCAGGAGGCTGAAACTAGAGAAAAGGAAATATTGTACGTTGAATGCTTATGCTTCAATTATAACACAATTCAAATAGCAAACTTGTTTCCCATTAATATCAAAATGATATGGCTTTACTTACTGACTGGAGTAATATACCTCTATGCTCTTGGGATATCTTTGAATATCTATCTATGCAAAAGAGAAAAAGTATTTTTGCAGTGGAGGAAAAGAAAGTCTGATAATTAAGACCAAGTTTGAGGTTCCGGTGCCCTTTGTAGGAGGCTGTGGGTGTATGTGATAAGTTTGGAGGTGCAGATTTTAGAGCTGGGTTATCTATGGTGACATCATCGTGAACTCAGCAGATCCGGTCATAACTGGGTTTTTACTTGGAGTTTTACTGAGAAAGGGTCTAATAGGGGCATCTTCTTTGAGCACTGCTTCTCTGAGTCTCACGCTCTGTGCCTAGAGCCTCCCAGTTCTGGTCTCTGCTGGTCTATTCCATTTCATGAACTTATAGGACTTACAGATTGTCCCTTAAGATAATGTTTGCCTAGATTTCTGACATCTAATTCCTTCATCCCAAACTGCACAGTTTTGAGACTTTTCAATGGGTGAAACAGAGATGAATACTTGCTTCAAAACAGCTGTTGGAGTCTCCTCTGTTGATTAAGAGATCAAGTATTGCATGCATGTGTGTGTGCATGCCTGCATGCTTGCTTGCCTGAGTGCATGCATCTGTGTGTGTTGAACTCGTAGATACTGCAGTCTGTTTTGGGTTATATCTATCAAGTACTGCCTTCAACAAACATTTTCTGTCACGTTTTCCTCCCAGTGTTTGAATTTTGGGTTCTCACCAAGAATGAAAGAGACAGGGAAATAGTGTGGCTAAAAGGACAGATCCTGAATCAATTGCCTCAGTGAAAATCTGTTTTTATTACCCCCACATAGTTTGGGTAGTTATTTACTCTCTGTGTTCCTTGCTTTCCTCCTAAGTAACTGAGGACAAACAGTTGTGAAGATGAGACATTCACAGCAGTGCCTGACACATACTAAGAACTACTGATTACTCTTTTCCAGAGAGGATGCATGTATTTGTAGAGGGAAAAAAATAAAGTTGTTGAATAAGAGTTCTTCAAATTTGTCCTGAGTATAAGAATTCCTACAGTTTTTCCATCATAACAATTTCAACTTTCACTGAAGGGAACTAAGCTAATTTCTACAAAACTATGATGTTAGTGAAATTTTGAAACGGCTGCTTTTTTTGGTTATGTCTAGCAGACTGCTCATAACTTCTACTTTGTACATTTGCAGAATCCAGACCCCAGGTTCAGAGAACATGTTGGCATCTCCCTCTCATGGAATCCTCACTACTTTGTGTGCATGTCTCAGACAGAGGATGTTATAACACCTTGCTGTCCACCTGTTGCCTTGGCCAGGTGTACAGACTGATCTCGTAGCTAATATATATTATATTTATTCTCACCATATGTGTGTGAGAGCTTTGCTTGTGTGCTAGTTCACGTTCTAGTGCTGACCATAAGTAACTTGGGGAGGAAACAGCTTATTTCAGATTATAGTTTATAGTCCATCAGGAAGGAAAGTTAGGGAAAGGACATTGTCGGGAACTTGGAGGCAGGTAATAAAGCAGAGGACATCTAAGAGAGCTTCTTGCTGTGACTGCCCACATTAACCAGGAACAAAGAAAATGCCTCAGAGATCAGGTTCCAAGCCAGTCTGATGTAAGCAACTCCTCAAATGACATTATTCTTCCCAGATGTGTCAAGTTGACAAAAACCCAACCAGCACAGTTTACATATATGTGCCACATATGTGTACTTACTGCTTTTAGAGGTAATAAATGTGTATTGGATATTCTGGAGCTATAGTTATAGATGGTTGAGTCGATATGTGGGTTCTGTGATGTGAGATTCCCCTCTGTATGCTGTGACTATCATTGGTTAATAAAGAAACTGCTTTGGGCCTATAGCAGAGCTATAGGGGAACAGAGCTAGGCGGGCAGTGTGGGGGGAACTAAACTGAATGCTGGGAGAAAGAAGGCAGAGACAGACATGCTGAAATTTTGCTGGTAGGTCACAACCTCGTGGTGATGCACAGATTAATGAAGATGGGTTAAATTAAGATGTAAGAGTTAGCAAATAAGAAGCTAGAGCTAAATGACCAAGCAGTGGTTTAATTAATACAGTATCTGTGTGTTTATTTTGGGGCTGAGCAACCGGGAACAAAACAAGATGCCTCCTTGAACAGTTCTGAATACCAAATTCGGTCCTCTGGAAGGGTAGCAAAGGCTCTTAGGCACAGAGTTACATATCTAGGCCTGGGCTGACCTATAAAGAGATCCATTCTTTCCATTCTTTTTTATAGTTTCTTTAGCAAAATGACAATTTTACCAAATTCCATTGAAACACATTTTACTCTTGGCTGCTTTCTTGATGAGTAATCATTTTCTACCTATGCCCCCTCTCTTTCCATAAATAGTAGATTATACATTGTAATTAATAAAAATACGCATCTATAGCCAGGCAATGGTGGTGCATGGCTTTAACCCCAGCTCTCAGGAGACAGAGGCAGCTGTGAGTTTGAGGCCAGACTGCTCTACAGACCCAGTTCCAAGATAGGCTCCAACGCTACAGAGAAACCCTGTCTTAGAAACCCCCTCAAAAAAATGCGTCTATTATCTTCTGTGAAGGGCAGAAAAACTGTGCTCTATGTCGGCATTAACAAGGAATAAACTAGGGAGCAGGGTTATTTAACATGGACAAGTCAAAATCATTTATCTTCAAGGCCAACATTGTGAGGTTAAAAAATAAACTCCACCAGGAGCTGAGTTGTTTGTAACAAATCTGTGATAGACATGATGTTGTTCTGCAGTGAAATCTTGTAAGAGGAAACCTGTTGGGCTTCCAGAAGATTTTGGAGGAGTTCAATGTTGTATAAAAGTTTTCCTTTAGCAAAGAGTGTTTGTCCTGATGGGTCTGGAGATATGCCTCAGCTGTTAAGAGCACATACTTGCTCTTGCAATGGACCTGAGTTTGGTTTGCAGGTGTCCTGCCAGGTGACTCACAGCTGCCTGGAATACCAACTTTAGTGTAGACCCAGCATGTCTAGCCTCCACAAACACCTGCCTTTATATGTACAGAGAGAGAGAGAGAGAGAGAGAGAGAGAGAGAGAGAGAATTATACATATATTTATATATGTATATGTAAAATTTTAAACCATTAAAAAGTTTTGTATTAAGGAAAACACTGTCTCGTTAGCCAGCACAGATAATGTGGCATCTGTTCTCAAAACAAGGCAAACAGTCTCAGTGCATCATGTTACTGACCTTTCCAAAAACATTAACACCTCCAGAGCGTGAAAATGATGAACCAGCATTAACGTGTCCTGGAGTCAGTTTGTGTAAGAATCCCAAGTGATCGTAGTATATCGTGAAAACTTTATCAAGACACTCTCCACTGTGAGTGTATCTTGTTAATCCTGTTAGGAAACAAACAGAACTCTCTTGATATTGATACAATACAACTAGAAGAAATTTTATATTGCACCTGTAAAAATTTGCTTGTTTAAATTAGGAGTAAGAGTAGGGCTCTGAGACTTCGAAATTAGTGAAATACGTGCGGCTTTGTGCTGCATCCTTGGAAAGTCTTCTGTGGTTCCACTTCATTACAGAACATGTTCACAAATGTGGCAGACAGAACAGAACAAAGGGGTTGTCTGGTCAAGGGATAATGGAGGGAGGGTGTTTATTCTCCCTGGTGGTGCTTTCTCTTCCTAAAACTATCAAATTAGGCTTCTGTCTATCTAGGACCTCTTGTGCTTCTCTATCATTAATTTTTTCTCTCTTTCTGTGGTGAATAGAACTGGAATTTGATTGTGATTGTATGGAATATATAGATTGCTCTTGGTAGGATAACCAGTTTCACAACAATGATTCTTCCAGTTCATGATCGCTGGACTTTTCCATTCTTCAGTGTTATTCTCTACTTAATTCCTCAGTGCTTTCATTTTCATTGTAGAGAGCCTTCACATCCCTTGTTAGATTTATTACAACAGATGTCATCTTTTAAGGCTACTGTGAATAGGATTCTATGATCTTTTTAACATGTTGCCTGTGGGTGTCTTACAAATACCCCTTTAATATTGGACTATGTTCCTTGTATTCTGAGATTTTTAGGACTTAAACACGAAGAGATGTTGGATCTTTTCAAAGAATTCTTGTGTCTGTTGACCATGTAATTTCTATGCCAGAGTCCATTTTTGTGATTTATGACATTTATAGCTTTACATATACCAAACTATTACAGAATCTCTGGAGTAAAACCAACTTGATAATGGTGAACAATATTTTTGATGAGTTCTTAAATTTAGCTTCCAAGTGGGTTTTTGAGAATTTTATTGGTCTAAGTTCATCAGATAAATTGGTAGGCTTTTTGTTGTTGTTTATTGTGTCTTTATTTATTTTTGTAATATTAGCTTAAAAAGGAAATGAGAAGGTTTGGCATGGTCATGCAGCCCTTTAAACCCAGCACTTGGGAGGCAAAGGAAGGTGTATTTCTGCAAGTCTGAGGCCAGCCTGCTACACTTCTTATGTTCCAGGTTGGTCAGCCAGGGCTGCATAGTATGATGACCTGTTTTCAACAAGAAAGAAAGTTTGGTAATGTTTCTTCATTTCTATTTTATTGAATAGTTTGGTAAGGATTGGTGTTAGTCCCTTGAAGGTGTAGTAAAATAACATTGTCAGTTCAAGAGGAGCTGGATGTTTTGTTGCTGTTGTGGGAGATTCTAATTAATTGCTTCAGTCTTATTGCTTGTTAGAGACATTTACAAGGTTTATTTCATCTTGGCTTACTTTTGGGAGGCCACACATATCCAGAAATTTAAAAATTCTTTTAGATCTTACAATTTAGTAAAATATATGTTTTTAAATAAGAGCTCATGATTTGTGAATTTCCCTGGTATTTGCTGTAACACCCACTTTTGTATCTGCTGTTGGTCTTCCTTATCTCTTTAAAGAACCAACTCTTTCTTTCATTGATTCTTGGTCTCAGTTTTCATTTTTTTGTTGAGTTCTATGTTGATCTTAGTGATTTCTCTCTGTATATTGATTTGGGATAGACAGAGTTGGAAGGCAAAGCAAATAAATTGGAGGAGGAATCTAGGCTTGAGAAGAGAGAAGGGGAACGAGGGAAAATAACCAAGGCTAGTGAAACAGTGAGCCAGGCAGTCACTAGCCAGCCAGACATAGAGCAAGCAGGGAAGTAGGACTTACAGAAAGAAAAGGGAAGGAAGGAAGGAAGGAAAGAAGGAAGGAAGGAAGGAAGGAAGGAAGGAAGGAAAAAATCCCCATGGCAAAACGTAGCTGAAGAGAAACGGTAAAATAAGCTATAAGAGCTAGCGGCGCAAGCATAAGATAAGGCCTAGCATTCGTAACTGATAAGTCTCCATGTCATAATTGGGAGCTGGTTGGTGGCCCAAAGAAAGCTTGCTACAGATGCAATTGCCTGTACCTGTATTGGAGGCATATCATATTGTCTGCTTGATGGATTTTTCCTTAAATCAGTGTAAAGTGTTCATCTTCATCTTTTCTTATTCGAGGCTTTGAAATCTACTTTGCCATATATTAGAACAACAATACATGGGTCTTCTCGGCCCATATGCATGAAACACTTTTTCTCCTCCCTTCGATATATGGTCACATCTGCTTTATAAGGTGAGACGTGTTTCTTGGAGGCAGCAAATGAGTTGAATCAGTGGTCGTACATTATGTTAGCCTATTTCTATCATTGAAAGTTTTAATTTTTCCGGTAATTAGGACAGATTACTTTACTGGAAATAGTCTGGGGTTAGCTGCTGCTGTCTTTTAAAACTTGCAGTACAGCAAACCATGTTCTCTTTGCTTTGAAAGCTTCCGGTGAATAATTTGCAGTTATTCTGATGGACCTGACTTAATATGGGACTTGGTGCTTCTCCCTTGCTAGTGTTTTTGTTATGTGGTTTTATTGTTTTGATTATAACGATATGGGGAGTTTCCTTTCCTGTCTGCCTGTTTAGTGTCTAAATACTTCCTGCAGGGGGAGGAAAGAGGTGAAGGGGGGGGGCAGAGAAAAATGTAGAGCTCAATAAAAATCAATTTAAATAAAGAAAAAATGCTTCCTGCATAAAGACTGTCATCTCTTTTTCTTACTCAGAGAAGTTATTTGTTATGATTCTTTTTAAAAAATGGTTTCTGTGCCTTTGGAACAAGATTTTTTTCTACCTCTATGCCTATTATCAATAAATTTGGTCTTTTTAGAGTATTGTATCTCTTGAAATTGCAACTGGCATCCTTTTGTTATTGTATCTTTGTCACTGTTTTATTGTTTTAGTTTTATCGCTCATCTTCAGGATCAGTTATTTTGTCTTCCTCTTGACCTAGCCTGCTGGGGAGACTTCCAGGAGTGCTTTTTATTTGACTTACGTTTTTCATTTCCAGCAATTCAGATTGTTTTCCTACTTCTCTTGGCTTCATCTTTGAAATCTTCTATAGCCTTTATTATTTTCATTCATCTGTTTGAGTGTACAATCAGGAACTCATTTTATTCTTTGGACATACTTAAATTATTCTTTTGAGTTCTCTGTCCAGGAATTGACACCCGCTCTATTAGATGCCAGCGCTGTAGGATTGAGAATTTTGGAGTTCTGTTCTCATGTGTGTGTATGTTTCTAATGCTACTGCAGCGGGATTTACTCATCTGGAGTTATTTACTTGTTTAGTTCACCTTTTTATCAGCTGTGTTATTTCAGTTGGAATACTTGCAATGTTCACAAGGGACTTTGATGTAGTAGCACTGAATGCATAGTTCATAAAAAAAATATTTCCTCAGACCAGGAGCTCAGGGTTCCTGGTGTAAATTCTACCTTCTTTGCAGAACAAAATATTAACATTAGGAACAACCACAGGTGCTATGAGAATGTTATGTGAGACAATGAATAACTGTGGCCCATTTGACTCCTTCAGCAACTGCTGAAAAATAAACAACCAAAGATAGGGAGAATTATAGTCAGATTTTTGTTAATAAAATTAAGGTGGCCTCTGCTTCTCTGGTTCCAATCCTTCAGTGCCATTCCCAGCTGTATAGCAGATCACCTACCTACTCTGCTCCCTTTCCTCTCTGATTCCATCCCCAGTGAATCACAAAGACCTTCTCCTCCAACCTCCCTTCCCCTAAGTCATCCCATTATCCTAACCTCCATCACTAGCAGGCATTTCCTGCAAAGGCACCAGGTGAGCAGACCTTCAGTATTCCCTACTCTCCTCCAAATCCAATCCCCACCCCCAGTCTCGTGCCTAGCTCAGCATCCCTAGAACACCTGCTGCAACATTTCTTCCTCACCACCCCCATCTTCTGTGGATCCCACAGAGCTTCCCCTCCTAATTTCCCTCCCCCAGCACCACTTGTTGTTTTATCTCTGTCTGCAACTTCACCTGCATCCCCTAATTACCCACAGGACTTTCCTGCCAGGAAAGTAGGGAGGCTGACTGTAGATCTATCTTCCCTCCTCCCCTGTTCCTCCAGATCCAATCTCCCCAGTCTCATCTTCAGCATTATAACAGACCTAACCTCTTGTTTATTCCCATTCCAAGAAGACTAAATAATCAGAGCCTGGTTGTAGACTCTGTTCTCCTACCTCCTGTGAAACCTTCAGACTACTAGCCTATCCCAATTTCTAAGTATCAGCTCCCAATCAGAAGCCATTTTACCTAGAACCCCCGATGTCTACATCTATAAGGTCCAGAGAAAATTTCCCACCAGGCAGCACACAGCCATCACACTCTCCTAAAATCCAGAGAGGAAACAGGAACCACGGAACAACACCCACCCAGGACAAACCAGAAATCAGCACCTAGACCTATAATCATCCCCCAATCCCAAATGCCACAATGCCAGTGTAAAAACAATCAATAATGGCCAGGATGGTATGTCTCCAGTAGAGCCCAGAAACCCTACTGCAGCATGCTGTCAATATTCTAACAGCTGAAACACAAGAAAGAGACCTTAAAACAGCCTATATGAAGATGATAGAGGACTTCAAAGATGAAATGAATAAATCCCTTAGAGAAATCCAGGAAAATACAAACAAATGGTAATAGGAAACAAATAAAACTACTCAAGATTTGAAAATGTCGATCAGTTCAGCAACACATATACTAAAATTGGAATGATATAGAGAAGATTAGCATGGTCCTTGTGCATGGATAAAATGCAAATTCCTGAAGCATTTCATATTTGTATAGATAATTGCACACCAGCCAAACACTTGGAGAGCAAGCACAAGCAAACACACACACACAGAGAAACACACTACCACCACCATGACCAAAATCAAAAATAGTAGGACTAACAAATACTGGTCATTAATATCTGTTAATATCAATGGACTCAATTTGCTAATAAAAAGACACAGACTAACAGAATGGATACGAAAACAGGACACAT